TTTATATGATGCATTAGTGATTTCAAGTTGTTTACTGATCTCAATACATAAGACATGAAGATGTTTTGTAAATGTCTCAGTTGACACTGACACTCTAACATGTGGGTATATGGCAATGAGATCTAAAGGTCTCCTAGACAAATACTCACGAACCACTTCAAAGGATTAATACCTAATGATCAATTCATGGAACTGTTATATGCAATTTGAACTATAGGAAGAATCAAATCTTGATTTCTAAGATTTTCCTGGACTAGACACGAATATCTTAAGCATGCATCATGCGTACAAGGTTTGCTTACTGGGCGTTAGCGCATTTCATTTTATTATTAAAATTTCAAATGATAAGAGCTAGATAATGCGATGCGATCCCTTGAGGCGAGATGGAATTAGTTCTGTCCGATTTAAATATTCTATTTCCATGCTAATAAGACAATTTGAATCATTTTGAAGGTTGTTTTAAAATATTTAAATAAACTATGAAATTTTCGTAAGTAATTGTTTTCGATTTTATGAATTCCGCAAAATTATGATATCAATTAAGTTTAAATTCATATTATTAATTTTTTTTTTATCTAATTTGATGCATTTATTTCTTGAATGAGTATTAAATGCTAGCACTCATAAGTTTAGAATTTTCTAAGCTTGGGGTGATACAAGTCTAGAAGATTTTCTAAACCTAGGAGTGCTAGCATAAATATTCGTTTATACAAAAAAATAAAATAAAAAAATCGAATAATATCCATTGAACTTAATTGATTTATAATTTATGAAATTTCTAAAAATTTTAAACAACTGCGTAAAGAACATTACATGGTCTGTAATGATTTATTTATAATAATTAAAGTAGACTTCAAATTGGTTTAAATTTTCTTATTAGAGTGGAAATGGAACTCTCAACTCGAACAGTACTGAATCCATGTTGCCTCAAAGAAATCGCCTCGCATCACCTAGCTTTCATCAACTGAAAATATAGCAATAACATGAAATGAGCTAACACCTAGTAAACAAACCTCATGCATGTAATGCATGCTTATGTTATGCACGTATATTAATTAAAAGAAATAGTTCCTATTATGTATCCCCTTTCCCTTTTGTTTTCTTCAAAAACTTTAACATAGACGTCATGAGCTCACTTGGTGTATCACCTAACCAATCAGAATGCAGTGGGTAATTATTATTTGGAACCCGATCAAGTCCTACCGATAGTACCGCAAAACGATTAACAATAACATTAATATTATCATTAAGGATTGAACATTGGTCGGGTGAGCCGATCTCCCACGCCCATTTCCCATTCACAACTTTCATGGATTGGGATGTTATATAGATAAAATGATTAACATTGGAGAACAACATCTTACAAAATTTGATGAGCAACGTGTAACTATAGGTCTCTTGATGATAAAGCTTTTTTTTCACCCTTGTTTTTCAATATATGTGTGTGTGTGTATGTGTACGTACTAGGGAAGAAAAACTAGAAAAAGAAAACTGATGTCACAGCAAATTCTTTTCTTTTGTGTTGTTCTAGGATTTTGGAGAAACTGCATTATTCACAATTATGGACACGGAGGAGGTGCGTGGTTTTGAGAAGAGGACGAAGAATTTCTGGATTATAATTGAGTTATTTCTCAAGCTTTTGACTCTAATACCAAATTTGATGCAATACCAATAGAAGCACCAAACGGAGAATGAGACAATTCTACAGTAAAGAAATCAAAGGTAGAAATGGCAAAAGAATAAAATAGTAGAAGAAGGAGAGGAAGAATAGGGAAACGGAGGAAACTTTGGCAACAAACCACAATTCATTTTATTCATTCATAATTTGTTTTTTCTCCCAATCCAAAACCATATAAATGTTGGAGACGACTTAGAGAAACGGGCCATGTAAGAGTTAATTTTTTATATATTTGTTCGACCAGTTTTAATTCGCAGGAGCGTGATCAAAGCACAATTTATATGAAAATTTGGATAGAGTTTCGGTATATATAAATGTGGTAAAGATTACGCAAAACAAAAATTAAGAAGGAGTAGAGAGACGTTATCTCTTTCCTTAAGACAAATTGCCCCGCTACGGTGCTTATGGTGAATGACACTTGTCTCCCAAGATACAATGGATTCACAACTTGTGGTAGCAGCATTTCAAACTACAAGAAACCGATGAACTTTTGACATCATTTTCCTTCTACAAAGGAAATGTATGAAAATGCTATATAAATAGAAAAGGAGATAATTGTAAGATGAGAATGAGTGCTCAATGCAATTGGTGTACCCAAAACTATGTTCACAGGGTCCTATTTATAGATGTAGAAATGGTGCAAATGAAGTAGTGTGAGTCAAAACATGCATCATTTCGAAAAGTTGCAACACTTGGTCAAAATCTGCATTCTTTCGAAACGTTGCAGCACTTTATTTCTTCCAAATTTGGACCGCAATTTCTCATTCATCCGAAATTGATTTCGAGATTCCAAATATACCACAACGATCTATTTGACGAGTCACGACGATCTACTCAACGAGTAGAATAGTTGATCTCTTTACTTTTGTAATTTGACCATCGGATCAAATCCGAATATTTGGTTGAAATTGACACGAAGTCACACCTTTTCATTTTCCAATTTTACACACCTTTTCATCTTCCAATTTTCAATTATTTATTTGAACCAATTCCAACAATAAATAATCAAATAAATAACCCTAAAACAAAGGGGCTTGGGCCAACCCATAATACAAATCCAATAATAGAAACATAAATAAGAGTGCACAATCAAATATAAATCTCGATGTACGTCCGCATCAGATCCCTTTGGAATCTCCCACCTACACCAAGAATTATGTAGCTGCAGATACTGTTTTTCTTAGCTTTTAGACCATAAACTGAAGAAGAAGAAGAAGAATAAGCAACAGCAAGTGTTTGTGTACTGACTGTTTTGGCCATTTCTTTGCTTATATTCACTCATTTGGTAAACTTCTTTACGATTGCCTTTTTCACAAGGCTATACACAACAAATTAGCTGATCATATATTTAGTGTCTTTTCAATGATTGGAACATAAATATACATGTTCAAATTTTGAAAAGATTCGAACAAGAATTGAAATTTACACAATGGGAAAGACTCGAACCGCTCTCCTTTGTAGAATTTTAAAAATACCTTACCACTTTGGTATTTGATTAATGTTACCATAAAATATAATGGTATATAATAATATATATATTTGATTTTTATTGCTACCAATATTGTTGACGATTAACGACCAACTGTGCTCACTCGAGCTCTTGGATTCGCTCCTGATCTAACATGAAACTTCACTTTAAGTTGAATGACTAATAATTTGTTCATCTCGGCAAAGTATGAGATATTCATTGTCAAATCAATGAACAAAACTTATTCAACAATGATGGTAGTAGTATGGTACGTAATTTTTTTTATCGGTAAATGTAAACTCTATTGACCAAAAATTATTTACAAGTACATCGAGCATACCGGAGCAAATAAGGATCAAGTACATATACATATACACCGAGCATACTCGGGCAAAATAAACACAAAATACATACAAGTAAAAAAGATCTATAATCCCAATGCTAGAGACTGAAAATGAACCAAAACATTAATATATAAAGAAAACATAACTTTGTATAAATGTGTTTTATCCGTCTCACAATGCTATAAACATGTTGTTTAAGATCATCAAAAATCATTCTATTTCTCGCCATCCAAATTTGGTAGACTGTGCAAACAAGTGCAATTCTCTTGCCCTTAGCTTGCCAAGATGTGCCTCAGGTTTCTTTCTTCATCCATTTTAATGCACTAAGTATTGTCGTCATCGACCTTTTCATTCCCAACCAATCTTTAATATGCCCCCAGATATTTGAAGTGAAGGCACATTAGAAAAATAAGTGTTTCCCATCTTCTAGGTTTGAATCACAAAAGACACATATTCTGTCAATGTTAAGATACATCAACTTATCCTTCGTAAGAAGTTTTGATTGCCAACCACAGCATGAAAGAGTGTTTTGGAGTAATGTAGGGTCTCCAAATCTCCCCAATCTAGCTCTTTTTCTCTCCCTTTGGCCTGAAAAACTAGTATGCATTGCCTATTAAAAATCGGCGAGAAGCTGTCCAGTTAGACAACCTATTGACAGCAACTTGTTCAGTAAGTTCCGGCCATGTAAGCTAATTTCTAATGTCCAATAACTTCTTGGTCAATGGAGAGTGATCTTTCCTTAGCATACACTCCCAAATACTAACTGCACGGAGGTAAATTTGATCGATCCATTTGATCCAAAGCGAGTCTTTCTATGAATATCCCAAATGGATTTTGAGAGCAAAGTTGAATTCCAACATTTTATGTCTTTAAATCCAAGTGCAACTTGTTCAGTAAGTTCCGGCCATGTAAGCTAATTTCTAATGTCCAATAACTTCTTGGTCAATGGAGAGTGATCTTTCCTTAGCATACACTCCCAAATACTAACTGCACGGAGGTAAATTTGATCGATCCATTTGATCCAAAGCGAGTCTTTCTATGAATATCCCAAATGGATTTTGAGAGCAAAGTTGAATTCCAACATTTTATGTCTTTAAATCCAAGTCCACCCCCATGTTTTGGCGAGTAAACATTACTCCAATCAACCAACGGTTTATTGGTACCCCAAAGGAGTTGCAGCACAGGCTAGTAATCTTTGAAGCAACCGCGATCGGAATAGGAAATATGGAAAGCCAAAAACATTCCACACCTTGAAGAATAGCTCTAATGAGTTCCATTCTACCCGCATAAGACAGAGATGTCTTAGACCAACCACAAATATAAGCTGTGATTTTGTTAAGAAGAGAGTCATACGAGCTTATTTTCAACCTCACCACGGCAAGTAGAATCCCCAAGTACCGGGATGGCATGGTACCTTTGGACATACTGGTCAACTGAATATCTCCTTAAGCTCTTGCCCATGAACGCTTGTCGTATACAAGCTGGACTTGCTAACATTCATCCTTACTTTCTATATGTCTCCAAACTTAGACAAACAATCCATCAAGATACCAACTGAAATTGGATCACCTCCAGCAAAGAGCATCAAATCATTCGCAAATACCAAATGTGTAATCTTTAAAGGGCCACATTTGGGATGATAATTGAACTCGCTATTCTCCATAGCTCCCTTCAACATTATTGAAAAATACTCAAGGAAAATGACAAACAAAAAAAGAGAAAGAGGGTCACCTTGATGAAGACCCTTTTTCCCTTTAAAAAAATCCATGAAAGCTTCCATTGAGTACAATCAAATACGAAGGAGTAGATATACATTCCATCACCCCAACCAATAAACTTCATAGGAAATCCAAAGCCGTGTAACACAATCTTGAGAAATTCCCAATTGACCGAATCATACGCCTTCTTAAGATCTATTTTGAGAAGGCATCTAGGAGTAACTCTCTTACGATTGTATTATCTAAGGAGCTCTTGTACGAGATGTATATTTTCCAACGTATTCCTACCTTCCACAAATACACCTTGAGCTTGATTGACAATTGATCCAAGAATAGGCCCCAACCGAGATGTAATGATTTTAGCAATAACTTTGTAGAACACATTACAACATGAGATCGGCCTATAGTCACCAACGGATGCAGAGTGATTTGCCTTGGGGACCAAAACAATGACTGCATGATTCATTTGTTTAAGAAGAAAACTCAAGGTAAAGAACTCTTTGACCGCTCCCAAAAAATCTCTTCCAATAATACTCTAAGATTTCTTGAAGACGCAAGAGAAGTACCAATCCGGACCTGATGATTTATCACCGCTAGAAAATAATGCCTCTTTGATCTCTTTTTCCAAAAGATCTCGAATAAGTGCCAAAGAATGCTCTTCCGATAATATGCAACCTTTCCTTAAGATGCCAATGTCAATGAGCTCCACCGAGCTAGTTTTTGTAGTAAGTTACTATAAAAGTCCACAAATTCCTCGATCACTTCTTCCAATGAAGAAGTATATGAACCATCCTTTTTACATACGGATGCAATAAAATTTCTTTTGGCGTTCCTCTTAACTATCGAATGGAAGAATTTAGTGTACTTGTCACTATTCTTAAGGTACTCACATTTAGCACATTGGTACTAAAAACTCCTCTCTGCGTCACAAAGGTTCATAGCTTTTTTCCTCATACATGCCACTGAATTTTGAAGTTCAACATGAAGAGGATCATCATGCAATTCCAATTGTGCCTCCTTCAAAGCCAACTTTGCCATTTCGGCTGTTGTGGAAATATGGCCAAAGTGTTTCTCATTAAGCTTTTTGAGTTCTCCCTTAAGACATTGCAATTTTTTACATAGAATAAATTGCCTTGTTCCCATAAATATCAAGTTCCCAACAATTTTGTACTACCTCTTGGAAACTTTCATGGTTAGTCCACATGTTGAAGAACCTAAATGGCCTCCTCTTACTAGCATCAAGCCCAAAGAGTAATACTACGCAGGGTGAGTGATCCGAGAGGCATCCCGATTGGAGAAAATTAGCAAGACTATATCTTTGTTTACCATAGTCCTATCAAGCTTGCTCCACATTGAAGTATTAGTCCAAGTGTAAAAACAACCGATAGATCTCACATCCGTAAGTCCAACATTGATGCACATATTAGCAAGATCTTTCACATTGTTGAAATCACCCAAGACCAACCAAGGTAAAGAACAATTTGATCCAAAATCCAACATGACATTCCAAAGTGGCCTACGATTCACAATAGTATGAAAACCATATACGAAGCTAACAAAAAATGTAAGTGAACTAACCTTACAAGTAGCCGAACAATGAATGATTTGAGATGTAATCTCCACCACGTCCACTTGAACTTTCATGGGATTCCACAAAATCAAACTTCTGCCAGCTTTATGAGTATGATAATTGATGATCTCCAAAAACCCCCAAATTTATTCCGCATCACCAGATCAAGCTTAGATTGCATTAGCTTTGTTTCCAAAACACCCATAATGTCAATATCATGTTCCTTTATGAAGCTTTGAATGCCATTTTGTTTTAGGGGACGGTTCAAACCCCTAATATTCTATGAGACAATCTTCATGATGAAATAATGAGGGAATTACCCCTCATTACATCTTTTTTGATAGTTGTGGCCCTACGATCATCAAGCTTACTCTTTAATTTCTCATTACAATCAGTCCCATAACCAACTGTACTAGAACTCAGCCTATCGCATTCTGTCGCAGGGTACGGTTGCTGTCCTGACTGCATCCTACATTCACTTCCTGCAACCTGTCATTTCTTGTTCCATGTGCCTACGTTGTATCCTTTTAACTGGGTTTTCTGTTTGCAAACTCAACAAACGGTTCCTCCAACCTATCCCCATAATTTTGGCCCACTTTATCTCGTAGCTCCATTTCATTAATCACTAGTCTGCACTTCTCTAGTAATCGTAAGGGCTTTACATTAATTCTAGTCACTAGATTTTCCAAGTACACCCGCATCCTTGGCATCATGTTTTTTGTAGTTACATCCACTCGTAGTATGCCCAAACACTTTACAAGGACCGCAAAACATCGGCTTCTGTTCAAAAAGGATTTTTTTGCTCCCTTAATTTACCATTAGGAAGCCTAATTTTAACAACCCTTAAAGGTCGATAGATGCATCAACTTCAACTATAGCTCTAGCAAAAGATAGTCTTTCTCTAGTGGTTGTGATTTTATCGGTAGAAACAGGTTTACCCACCTTAGACGCAATTTTTCCCAAGGCAGCTGTGTTCCAAAACTTCAAAGGCAAACTAGGTAGGCTGATCCAAACCGGCGTAGTGCTTACTTCTTTGTCATCAAACTCGAAATAACGCGGCAAGACTTTAAGCATTAATGGTCTCCCAAAGACAAGATAGGGACCTCCATGTAGTGCCGATAATCTCTTCGCATCCGTCTCAAATTTGAAGACCAACCATCCACTAGCGCAAAGGCAGAGCCACACAGAGTTGAGTGCAGGCATCTGCCTCACCTCATCTGGGATTTCTTGCAGCAGTTGAAGGTAGTGCCCACACGGGGATTTCTGGAGGATTGGATCTGCTGGAAACACTTTTCTCTCCACTCGTCTTCGGCTACAAACTTTTCTCTCCACTCTGTTTCAAGGCTGCTTTTGTTGATTCATTCCTCCAGCTTGAATTTAGTTCTTATTTTCGTCAATCAACTTTTCATCTGGGAATTTCAGTTTTTCAAGTTAGGGCATCTTCTTGGTTTCTTCATAGCTTGAAGATTGTGTATATTGTGTATATATATTTCATATATAATTTGAGTTCAATCAAAGACAATAGTGGAATTGCAGACTTGCAGCGTGTCAGGGCACTTTGGTCGGCTGGATTAGGTTTGAATTTAATTGGTCCATTGCTATGGTCTTTGCATTTGTGTGTTGGATTGGATTTGAATTTTATACTGTCCACTGCCATGGTCTTTGCACTTGTGTATTATTTTACTTAGGTAATATTATTAGGGGAAGATGGTAGTAATGGTGATAGTCACTGTGAAATATGGAGATTTAATTCATTAGACATTGTGAAAATGTTTACTATTATACTTTAATATTGTTTCTCAATATTTGCTCAATTCAAAAGTTTATTGTTTTGTACTTTCAATGTTAACATGTTTATAATTTTAAAATTTTTTATGTTTAACATTATACTTTAATATTGCCTATTGTAAATTTTTGGATGCTTAGTATTTTATTACTTATGGATGATTCTTGCTGAAATTATGGTCTTGTATCATGAATTTCCAATAATTGGTGACTCCTCCAGTTGCTTTGAATGGCACTGCCACCAACGGAAGTGGGAACCACAGTGAGAAGAAGCAGCAGCAACAACAGCCGCAGGGACTAAAAATCGGACTAAAAATCACTGTAGCCGATATCTAAAATTATGCCTGCACTGGATAAAAATTCTGGCTCCGCCCCTGCACTAGCGTGAACAAAATATTAGTATTTGACCGTCCAAGAATCACATAATTGAAGCAGGCCTTTTTCCCTAGGAATCTATTGGCAAAATACCCAACAAGACCAAATCCCTAAGCATCCTCTACTTTTTGAGCATTTGTATCACACAAAACCACCTCATCCGATTGATTATCACAAACTTGCAACTTCACGTTTTCATCAAATTTCCTATTATCTTTAAAAAGATTCACCCATGGTGCTTTCGCCTCTTTTTGTTCTACAATCCTAGCATTTTTCCCACGTGATGCTTATCTAATTCAGCAGTTTGGGATTCAAAATGGGATTCACCAGATTCCGTATCCTCTTTCCCAAGTGTTACTGAAATAATAGGAGAGATTGTCGCAACATCATTGCAATCCTTAACATCTTCACCAGGCTGTGGAGAAATCTGGACTGGGGTAAGTACCTGAGCTGAAGTATCAATTTGATTGGGAGGGGCCTGCCCACTACGTTGGGCCATTTGCTTGGCCATTGCTAAAAGAAGCAAATGGAGCCCAGCAGGGAATAAAATGGCCCAAATACAAATGCAAGCCCACTTGCAAGTCAAAAGCAATATACATAAAAAGGGAAAATTACACGTAACACTAGTAAAAAAATAATATTTCCTATTAAACATGGCATCTTATTTTTATTATATGTATACTGCATTTTGAACAGTGTAAATTAAAACTGAAAAGGAACACGATACAATAGGTGAATTAATTTGAAAAGCATCAATTACGGTCAAGATAGTTTACCCAAAATCTTGACCTTACCTCCAAAAACCCATCTAATTTCTCTCTTTCCTTTCTGCAAAATCTTTTAATGCTTTCATCTTTCCTACAAATTTAGTATCCTCAAATCAATTAATCAAGAAAAGGGAAAGAAATGAGGCCACAAATCGATCTCCTCACCTCGCACACATAATTCAAAAACACAAATAATTTATTTTTTGTGCTTTTACGAAACGGGAGATGTTTACTGTGATGTAAAAATCCTTTTATTTTGGTATTGAATAATTGTTACAAACTAGACATGTTCGGGATGAAATATTTGGACGGAAATTGCGACGGTTAGAATATGCCACCTTTTAGAGCAGCGCAAACGTGATGTCCTCATGCTTGCTATCAACTGTTAAAGCTCGTGGCTGGAATGGCTGGAAAAGCAAATTTGATGAGTTGGTTGAAGACAAAGGTGTGAAGATATTGATTGATCCAAAGGCCCTCATGCATGCCATAGGAACCAAGATGGATTTTGTTGAAAACAAACTTAGACGGAGTTCATATTCATTAACCCAAATTCTAAAAGGCAGTGTGGCTGCGGAGAATCTTTTATGATAGTGAGCAACTTGGATGCAGGTAAGCGTAGTGCTGAATCAAGATCATTTCTAATTTATAAGGATTTCAGTCGCTGAAAATGCTAGAAAAATAGTTCAGTATGTATTTTGGGAGTTTTAATTTGGTTTTATTACAATAAAGTGCATGTCAGATGTTCTTATCTACTTTGGTGATGTAATTTTTTTTTTGGTGAATTCGATTCACTACATCCATGATGTAGATAAATGAAACAAGAATTTTCCTCATTTTATTTCTGCTTATTGATTTTTCCTTATAATGTTTTTGGTCATATTGGCTTTTCTAAATATTAAAAAAAAAATGAAAAATGTATATGCCTTTCTGATTTAGTAAAACATAAATCCTACATTTTCACATCCCGAA